GAATTGGTTTAATTTCTTCTTTAAGTGTTCGGCAGAACAACTGGTTAATTTTAACAAATTAGAGGATCAATCTTGGTAGAGAGGTGCCGGGGGCCTAGAGTCCCATCATCTACTCCTGTCTTTTCCCTGAGACACATGTATGGAACCTTAGGTTCCATAAAACACGGGTTGAAATCACGAATCTGGACCATGGATTGACAAAATTCTTGTGTTAGGCTTTGTGGGCCAGATGGCGTCTGTTGCAACTGCGAGTTCAACTGAGCCATTGTAGTGCAGAAGCAGCCACAGATAAATGCACACAGTTGAGATGCAAATGAGTCCATGAACTATTTAGGGAAAGAAGCAGGTTACAAAACAGCAATGCTAATAAAATGGCTATCGCTTATTGAGTCTTCTACACGCCAGCCACTGTGCCAAATGACTTACGTGGATTATCTTGTGTAATTCTCAGAACCACCCTATGACATAAATGCAATCATCTCCAATGTATGATGGGGACACAGTGGCCTAGATGGGTTGAATAGCTTGCCAGTAAGATATGAAGCTAGGATTTGAACCCACGCAGTCTAACTCCAGAGCCTGAACTTTGAAATGCTCCAGCACATAGCCTTTTATGCTTACTTATGTATATTTACATAAGCCCAAAAAGGATCTGGAAGGACATACGCCAAAAAGCAAGAGGATTTTCTTTGTCATGTGGAGACTGGGGGAGGCAGGGGGCTGATATATAAATAAGATTATTTTAATTTTTTGTAATTCTTCTGTATCATCATAAGTTAGACATTTCCATGAATAACATAATACCAATCAATGAGGCAGTAGGACTTGTTATTTCTAGAGATGTGTCCAGTTCCGACGTTCTAGTCTTCCTCGAGGCACATGCCATCTCTGGAGGTGTTTGGTCTGAGGAAGAGGCAGAGGCCTGAGCTGATGGTGGGAGGGTCTGGGTCGAGGTCTCCCAGCCCTGGGCAGGAAGTTGGAGATCTTAGAGACTCCAGGTTGCTTTTCCAGCCGTTAGCCTCTGACCTCTCCCTCTAGCTGTCCCTACCATCTTAATGGTTTTTCCGGCCTCTAATTACTAGGAACATAGAGAGAACCACAGCTTCTGTTTAGACGGAAAAAGGGAGTTAGATACCCACAAGTGGCTGCCTCAGTGAGGGCTGTTCCCAAATTGGACCCAGGGAAGGGCAGTGACTGAGCAGAGGAGAGGCCAGATCTGATGTTGGGTGTGGCCTGACAGTCCCTTTTACAAAGTGCTGGCATTCAGGGGCACATTGTCAAAAATGTAACTAGAGTACCAGCACTGAGCCCCAACCGTACGCTGGGAGCTTTGTGCACATTACCTGTGAGGTGAGAGGAGACTGAGTAACCTGCCCACCCAGGTTCCCTCTGTGTGATGACCTCATGTTCTCTCGACTCATTCCAGCGCTTTCCATGCTGAGCAGGGAAGCCGTGTGAGCTGGATTGGGGCGGGGGAGGATGGCCAGAACTGCTTGCCCTTTGATGTGTGCTCTCAGCTCCTATCAAAAGGTCATCAACAAAGAGGCTAGTGAGCAGATGGTCTGATAACTCAGCTCTGTCCCTGAGGAGTCTGGGCTATTCCCTGCGGGGTAGACCAGGGAGGGCTGGGAGGGATGGGAGTGGAAAAGTGTGTTCTGCCTCTGAGCGCCCACCATGGGGAAAGGCTAGATGGATGGCCTGCGTGTCAGGACAGTCTCACCCCAGTCATGACGAGTGCCAGGGAGACAAGGGTGGGTTCCACACCAGAACTTGCCCTCACAGAGCTGCTCCTGCTGCTTCCTCTCAGGGATGGCGTGCAGCCCAAGGCTTGGGGCCAGCCGTCAGAGAGAGGGGACACGCACATCGGGCTGAATGACCAGCTAGGTCTCCTTTCCTAAGATCCTGCAGCCAAGCTGAACACCCTCCATATGCACGTATCATCTCGTTTCACTCTAAGAAGGTCTAGTTGCTATTCCCATTTTACAGATAAGAAAACCAAGATCCTAGACAGTTAAGCAACTTGCCCAAGCTCACACAGCTGGTAAACAGCCAGGCTGGGGCTGACGCCATCTGTCTGCAGAGCCTGCATTCTTATCCAAAATACAGCCTGCCTCTAGCAGTCCGGGGATCTACATACAGTTCTAAAAGGATTAGGATGCTAGGAATTCATGATAAGGAGGCCAGTGGGAGATAGCATCCTTATTTGCAGAGGCTTTGATGTTTTATTTCAAGGCTCCAGCAGGCAGTCATGAGATTTGTAGGCCATTCCCCTCTTAGGAAGCAGATTAGGAAACTTGTCCACTTAAACTACGTGGCCACAGCCCCTAAAGACATGGAATCTAAAAGCAGCTGACGGACACTCCCCAGAAATTACAGACTTGGGCTTTTTAAGAGACTGGCACTAATTAAAGGAGAATGCCATGGAGAGGGCCGCGTCCTCAACAACAGCTCACCACCCACACAGTGCAGTGCTTGAGGTTCCATTTTTACTTCTCCGAGTCTGCCAGGGTTGAAGGGATCTAGACCTGCATTTTTCAAGTTTCAGTGTTCAAATTTCAAATTGTATAATCGTGAAACTTTTTGTTCAAACAAAAAGCTTTATTTGTGGAATGAAATCACCAAGCATTAGGCATGGGGTGGACCTTACTTAAGTCCCGATAGTCACATGGGCGAGGTACTATTATGATTCCCACTTTACAGATGGGGAAACTGAGTTGCACAAAAGAATCAGTAACTTTCCCAAGGCCGTGTAGTTATGAAGTGGTGGAAGCCGAGTTTGAATCCAGGTCTGCTGAAGTCCAGAGCATGGCTTAATACCCCTGGGCGAGTCCACTGTCTCAGGGGGACAAGATAGGATGGAATGAGATTAATGCAAGGGTATGACGGACAAACGTCCCCCCAAATGGCAGCCATTGCACATCCATCAAGTATTCTCTCAGTGCCTGTTCTGTGCACAGAAGACCTGATCCTTGAGGACAGGACACGTGGACCAAAAGCCTTACCACAACACTGAAGCTGGTGGGATAAATGCTGTGAGGGCCAAGAGGAGAAATAAATTACTTCCAGTTGTGGAGAGGTTTCGTGAAGGCTGTGGTATGTAAGGGAGGGAAAGGAATCTGTACATGGAGACAAGGCCAGAGATGGGAGGCGGGCGGAGGGGATCATTCCATACACTGGGGGTGGGGTGGGGGGTGGGGAGGAGGATGGGGAGGCACCATGAACAAAGGAAGACACTTGGGAGACACAGGATGAGCGAGGGCTGGGAGAGGCTGGAAAGGAGGGCTGGGTCAGGTGCTGAGAGAGCACACATCTGCTCCCCACTCCCACCCCTGCAGAAACCAGCGCTCTGCTGTGATGTCATTTGCTCCATGGACAGCCAGCTGGGCTGCTGGCAGGCATGGGAGCTTCCCCAGCTGCTCAGGGGCCTTGAAGAACAGAACCAAGGGCCTCAGCTGGAAACGTGGATTCCAGCGGGGGTGGACGGTGCTGAGAAAAGCCAAAGGAAAGGAACTCCTCCCAGGGGCATTTTCCCCGAGAGGCACCAGTGTCTCAACCCTTGGGCATTCCCAGTGGGCCAGCCAGCCTGAATCAGGTCTCCTGAGGAAGCAGTGAAAATGGAAAAACTCCTCAAGTTTATACTCCCAGAAACGGATTTCTCCGTGGATGGTCAAACCCAAAGGACAGTGCCATCTGCTGGCCAAGAAACCCAGATACCATGAAAGTTGGGAAAGTCCCTGTGCCCCTGAGGGACCAAGACAGAAATGGCCAAGATTTATTTAATAATTTCATAATGGACCCAAAATTATGCTAGCACACAGTTTAGTCAAAACAAAGTCCTATTTCTGGCTACCAAGTTCCCTGAAGTGGAGGTATTATGTATTGTGCGGATAAGGAAACGGCCTGACTGGTCCAAGGTCACAGGTAGCCAAGTGCAGAGTGAGGTCTTATCCCAGGGTCCGCAGTCACTGCCCAATAAGTGGTTAAACAGTGATTCTCAATGTGTGGTCCCCAAGATCTTTCAGAAGGTATATGAGGTAAAAACTATTTCCATCAGATGCCTTTTCCTCTTACAAGCGCACAATGAAGTTTCCAGAGTTTAAATGCTGTACACTGACCTCATATAGTATTGATGACCAGTGGGGTGCGTGTTTGTGTATTCTTGTGTTCCAAAAATTCCTGTTTTGATTTCTAGTATTTCATGACCCATACAACCAAAAGCTCTTTGAGGTGCTCAGGGATTTTTGAGGGTATGAATGCATCCTAAGACAATAAAAGTTTGAGAACTGCTGGTTTCAAGAAATACTTTTTGAAAACTACAGCTACAAACACTAAAACATTCCCTTTGCTTTGGATATAGATGAATCAACTCTGTGCTGTGAGGCACTAATTTTTAGGCTGATTGGAATTCTAATCTCCGCTTCTACAGAACTTTGATTAATGAAACACAAAAAAGAAATACTCGTATGCAGATAGACCATGTTTTTCTGAGTGCTTTATAACTGGCAAGCACAACTCTGAGTGATTTACATGTGTCACCTCACTTAATCCCCACAGCCACCATGTGCAGTATCACATTTTATGCTTGTGGACACCAAGAAGTTACTTGAGCTTGGACTCGATCCTAGGCAGGCTGTCTTCACTGCCTCTTCCCACTCTTCTAACAGCCTTAAGATTTGACATTCCTTAAATGCAATTCACTTGATAGACAAAAGTTTTTCAAAATATGGAGTCTAAGAAAGTAGTGAAAAAACAAAACAAAACAATCGCCAATCTGACCTAAAACTTCACTTTATAGATGAGAAAAGGGAGGTTTAGAGAGGGGAAGTGACTTGCAAAAAAACCACACAGCAGGGAATCAGAACCCACTAGGCCCCTACTCCCAGTCCGGAGCTCTTAGAAATCCAACCCAAGTAAACACTGCAGTTATCTCCTTCATAGCAATGTATGAGCACTACAGCACAGCGTGGAAGTGACAGCAAGACCACGTAAGAGACAGCATCTCCAACAAAAGCAGCTCCACTTTATTGCAGGGAAGCCAGGGAGGGGCAGGGCACGTGAGGGTCTCCGCAGGAACTCCACTGTGGAACAGGATTACCAGGTTCCAGATCGGTCCGGTCCGGAAGGCAGGAAAGGATGGGTGTCCTGAAAGAGATGAGAAGTCAGGTGGAGCAAAGGCGCCATCTGCAGTGCACATGGAAGCACTGCAGGACCAGCCACGGTTCACTAAGAGGCAGCTGTGGTGGCGAGGTGGGGGACCCAGGAGCTGGAGCAGAACCGGAAGCCCAGGGTCCAGCCTTGCGCACTGCTGCCACCAAGTCTGTTATACTCGGCTTGACTGGAGCCCGTTAACCTTGCCAAGCAGATCACTGCCAAGGCCCTCTTTGGGGAACTGCCAGGGCTGCTGGGATAGCACTCCCTGTTCTGTTTCAACTTACACTGGGAAAGCAATGAACAAAATCATGAGCAAACACATCTGTAAAGAGCCTAATGATCAAGATGACTTCATAACCAATAAACATTCTATCTCTGGTTCCCAAACCTGGATTCAAATCAGTCATTGGGGGGTGGAGGGGAGCTTAATACAGACTATGGGGTAAAGCTCACTTGATTGGTGATTCTCACCCTGGCCGTGCATTCCAAATCTCAGGGAGCCTTCCCATACTATACACGATTACTGATGTATGTACAGATACACTTACACGATGTCTAGAATTGTCTTCAGAAAAATATGGGGGTGGGAGGAAGTGGGCCATGGATGAAACAATGGTGGCATTGATTACATTATTGTTGGGTCTGGGTGATGGGGTGCACAAGGATTCGATTTTACTATTCTACTTGTAGATGTGTGACACTTCCTATAAGGAAAAAAGCTAAAATCAATCAATCAATCAATCAATCAATCAATCAATCACCCTTATCAGGCCATAGAGAAAGCAATGACGTACTGATCCATGCTACCACTTAGATGAATCTTGAAAGTATGATGCTAAATGAAAGAAGCCAGAAACAAAGGTCACATATCGCATGATTCCTTTCTATAAAATGTCCAGAAAAGGTGAATCCAGAGCAGCAGAGAGCAGATTAGTGGTTGGCAGGGGAAGAAGGGAGGAGGCAATGGGGAGAGATTGCTTAATGGGTACATGGAGTTTTTCTGGGGTGATGAAAAAGTTTTGAAACTAGAACAGCGGTTCTCAACCTTCCTAATGCCGCGACCCCTTAATACAGTTCCTCATGTTGTGGTGATCCCCAACCATAAAATTATTTTCGTTGCTACTCTGTAACTGTAATTTTGCTACTGTTATGAATCGTAATGTAAGTAAGTATCTTTTTGTTTTCCGATGGTCTTAGGCGACTCCTGTGAAAGGATCATTCGACCCCCAAAGGGGTCGCGACCCACCGGTTGAGAACTGCTGAACTAGAAAGAGGTGGTGGTTGTAAACACTGTGAATACACTAAATGCCAATGAATGGTACACTTGAAAATGGTTAATTGCATGTTATGTGAATTTCACTTCAATGTAAAAAACAAACAAACAAAAACACTATGAGAAAATCATTACACCATGCATGGTTTTACAACTGACAGGTATTACTTTTTTAGTGGAACAAAATCCACACGCCTAGGCCAGGAGATTCTAACTCGGTGTGTCAGTACTGGGGCTCCCCCATGTGTACAGCCAGTTCAGGAAGTTTTTTCTCTCCCCCCCCTCCACCTGTCTCTTCTTGTCAGAACATTTGCATCAAACACAATCTTACATTGAAGCCCAATACGAAACAGGGCTACTTGGGATCATTGGGGGGGCCTGAAGCCCCCCATAAAACCCTAGGAATGCAGGAATGATGATGAACACTGATCTTCGGCATGATGGAACCATATTCAGAGGGATTTCACAGTAATCCCCATCAGGCAGGAAAGCAGGGGAGAGGCTGTAGCCCCATTTTACAGATGGGAAGACTGAGTCTCAGGCATGTGAACAGATGTGTCTAAAGTCACAGTGTGAAATGAAGGCAGGGCTGGAAACAGAATCCTGGAATTCTAATTATTCATCCTGTGTTCCTTCCAGGACATGGGTTGTATCCATAGACTGAAAGGGGATGAGAAAACAGATGCATCTGACATCGCATGGTTTGCATGTGAGGTTACATCTACATAGGACATTGTCCCGGTTCAGATTCCAATGGACACCTTTAGGAAGGAGGCTAAACTCACAGGGGACTGACAAGGCCCACCAGTCAGTAGAGCTGGTCTCTGCCTGGGGACCTCTCCGTGGGTCCATGAAGGGGACAATGTCACCAGCCATTATAGAACTCTGATTCCAGATGCCTGATTCTCGTCCTGCCTCTGCCACTCACCTGTGTGCGGCTTTAGTCACATCACTTACCCTCTCCAGGCCTCAACTTCCTCAATTATAGTGAGGGCACTGAACCACACCAGGGATGTGGCAGTCACTGTAATTCACACATCACATGCACTGTGTGGATAGTGACAGCTAGGAGGGCTGTGCTGTGAGGGATTCTGAGAGTGCTGGGCACAGGAGGAAGGAATGTTGGATGGATGAGTAAGGTCTGCTCCAGTTCCATAGTGAAGCATGCTGGCACATGTTAAATCAAAGGGAATATGCAGCTTAGACAATTATTTTTGTGCCATCCTGAATTCACTTACCTAGTCAGTGTGCACAGGAGCATGAAGCCCAGGGCATAGGTGTTATCTCTGATGGGACAGTCAACTTATCAAAGCAAGACACAATGCTCTCAACTTAAACCTGGCTGACCATGAAGTGCGCACCCCATACGTCATAAAGGGGTCCCTGGGAGACATTACACAGTGCAAATTCTATTCACAGGGGGCTGTAAGGATTCTCTGGACATGTGCTTTGCATTAGATAATGGACTATTGTGTTGAAGTGCTGGGGCCTCACCCACCTGCCCACTTTGATCCATCCTGCAGGCTGAGGGCCCAGGCCCTCACTAGCTGGGGCCGAGATAGGTAACGGTCTTCCCTGTTTTCCTCAGGGTCTCCTGCAGAGTGTCCACGCTGTGCTCAGACTCGATGAAAACCTTCTTGTTGGGCAGGTCGATCTCAAACTGAACTCCTGCAGGAAGAGGAAGTGAGGTGTGCGTGTGTGTGGCAGGGAGTGGAAGCAGAGACCCTCAGAGTCAGAAGGAGAAAGAGTTCGGGCTTTGAAATTCTTTTTTCACAGCCAGTCTTCTCCTTTTCTCTAGACCACGGATCAGGAAACTTTCCCCGTAAGGCTGTGTAGTTTGCTGATCCCTACTCTAGTCCAGGGCTTCTTTTAGGTTTCTTTTTTAATTGCAAAAGTAATACAGACACATCATTTTTTTTTTTAAAGGCAAACATTTCTGAATACAATTTGGAAGTGTAAGGCCCCTACTATCTCCAACCTCTAGAGATCACTGTGAACAGTATGGCATCTCTCCAGTCTTTCTCCAATAGACAAATGAAAAATAATTCCCCGCAACGGCATCACACCATAGAAACAGGTCTTGCTGTATTTCACTTTCCAATGGCCAAGATATCTTGCCGTCTTCATTAGCACATATAGACTTATGGCATCTTTCTTTTCCCAGAGCTACACTGTATTCCATAGTGTGGATGGACCGAACATATACCCAATACCTGCTGAGGGACATGGAGGTTGCTTCCAATTTCTCACTATTATCAGAGCAATGCTCTAGTAAACACACTTGAACGTATCTTATAAAACCTGTGAAAATATTTCTGTACCATGAATTCATAGAATGGAAATGGTAGGGCAACAGACTGGCACATTTGAATAGATATTACAAAATTGCCCTCATAAAGGGCTATGCCAGCTTCAGACCTCCAGGCGGCACATGCAGAGCGGGTCTTGTTGAGACAACAGAATGCAGAGGGAAGGCCCTGGATAGGTTCTAGGTGTGGCTTCACCACTGACGTGCTGGGCCCATTCGAGGCCTGTTTCCCCATCTGTACACGGAGGGTTGGGGCTGGCCAGCCCCTGTGGTCTTTCCAGTTCAAGTATGCCATTAGTCTGTGATTTCTCAGGCCCAGTGCTGCTCATCTAGGGCCCCAGTCAACTCGAAAACCCTTCTGACCCATCTCAAGAGGACACCGATGGGGAGAAACTGCCCAAGTTCAAAGGCAGATCACCAAGCATCAGTGAAGGGGCCTTAAAGAAAGCACATGGCACAGGGTTTAGTTATAACATCTGAATTTGCACCTAATGGATACCCAGGGTGGGGAGGGGTTGCTGTGTACCTTGCTGCATTCTGAGTTCTTATCTTTTGGCTCAGAAGCGTCTCCCTCCTCTTTGGAATATTTTGGTGGCATCATAGAGCTGGAAGCAGCTCTGGGATCATCTAACACAGTGGATTTCAAACTGTGGTCCTCGCAGCCCGGGTTCCCAGGCAGGTGTCCTTAAGCTGTCGAGAGTGAAAGCAGGCCCACCTTCACGTCATCCAGACCGTGCCGCTCTATGTGTGAGGAGCTTCCAAGCAGAAGTTCACCCAAAGTATCCACAGCAAAAGTTGACAGATGGACATTCCCATATTACAGCTGGGGAAGCTCAAGCCCCAGGGAGAAGGGGCCACAGTCACACGACAAGTCAGCAGCCAGGTTCTTTCCGCGGTTTCAGAGCCTTTCAAGTTAAGGTCCTAGTTAGCAGCACTAGAAACCAGCCACTGACTCACTGTGGGACTTTGGGCAAGTTACTTCCCTCCCGGGCACTGGTGTCAATATCCCCAATTCCACAGATGGAAAGTACAGCTCAGGGACGCTTTCAGTGCCAATGAGATCACATCCACGTGCAAGCCCTTTGGACACTTGGGTGTTATTATCATCTAGGGTTTTAAAAATAAAAATCTGAGAAGACTGACTGCCCCCAGCACTCCCGGAACTCTGATCACAGCTCAGTCATTATCTCATGGAGTCCCAGGGCCAGATCCCAGCTCTCTCTGGGCCTCAGTTTCCCTAGCTGAGATTTGAGGGGGCTGGATGAGAATAATGGTTTTCTAAATAAGTCCGAAAGAGGTGCTTTAGGAGTTCTGCACATGACTGATTCAAAGTTCATTTTAAAAATTGTTACAATTTAAAAAATCTTAATAGAAGATGACACTCAAATGTGTCATATAACAAAAGTTATCCCCCTGGAGCTCACCAACTGCCAGGGCTCTGGAGATAGACTGCATGGCCAGCTCTGCCACTTACTGGCTGTGTGATCCTAGTCAAGTTACTTAACCTCTCTGAACTTCAGTTCCCTCCTGCTTACAATGGAGATAGTCAAAGAAGCTACCTGAATGGTTATGAAGATTAAATGACTTGATCCATAGGAGCCACTAAGCAGAGTACTTGGCACATGCTAAGTACTTAATACATCTTAGTTTTACTGCTATTAGCAGTTTAAACTGAAGTTTCTCCTGCCCCATGTCTGCATGCATTTGAACATGATATAAGTTACGGGTCTTCCCCACTCCATCCCCAGCAGAGGGCCACTTACTCACCTCCCAGCTTGTTGAGGACCCGAGTGACTGCATTACTACAGCCTTCACAGGTCATGTCGACAGAGAACTCGTGCTTCTGAAACACACAAAGGGGACCATAAGGCAAGTCCTGTGGAGAGTCCCACACACCCCACCAGCATGCAGTCCCACTTAAAGGACAAGATGGGGCAGAGACACAAGGCAAGATCAGACTCTCCAGTGGCCTATTTCTGAGCCCCACACTCTTCAACTATGAAGTAGAATAACTAAGCGTTTCTGTATTTCACGGGCTGTTATGATCTTATTTATGCATCAGAAGAGCTCCTTCTGCATTAGAATCACTTGCAGAAACTCCAGGTTCTAATTAGCAAGTCTGGGCTGGGGTGTCTACCATGGCTAGAAAGCTTCCCTGGTGGTTCTGACATAGGGAGACCACTGTTCTCATCCAAACGCCTCATTCTCAGAGGCAGCACCTAAATTCTGGGAAGGGAAGGGATTTGCATGGGCTCCCAGTGAGTTGGAGGGCAGCCCAGTAAGGGAACTCAGGCTTCTGGACTCTTCATGTGGGCTCGACATCCTGTAATCTCCAAGACATCTAACAGACCAAGCTCCCCGAAGACAGGGGCTTTGATCAGTTCACTGCTGCATGCCCAGGACAGACAGACCTCTGCGATATTGCAGGTTCAATTCCAAACCACCGCAATAGAGCGAGTATTGCAATAAAGAGAGTTTTGCTGCCCAAGGACTGAAAGTCCACAGGTATCTGAAGCATTCTGCTGAAGCATTCTGACTACACAGAGCAGGTCTCCTTCCATCCTCCACAGTACAAAGGTCAGAAGCCCAGAGGTGGCTTCTGGGTGGCAAACATTCCAATTCAGTGCTCTCCTCCTCCACCTATGAGTTGCAAAAAATTTTGGGGGGTGGGGTGGAAAATCTACCTAATGGACAGAGTAATCCATTCTTCACAGAGAATCCCAACACTGGTCCACCAGTGAACACTTTGTGAAGTTCCAGCCCCTTGGAGCCTCTGCTCTGTCACCTATAAAATGGGTCCTTTAAAGTAGATGAAAAAGTACAGTAAATTGTGCTATTGGTTTTTTTTTAAGATTTTATTGGGGAATTGGGGAAGGGGAACAGCCAAGTTGTTGTCCTTCAATCTTAGTTGTGGAGGGTGCAGCTAGCTCAGCTCCAAGTCCAGTCGCCATCCGGCTGCCCGTTGGCAGCTTGTGGCCACTCAGCTCAAGGTGAGGATGGGCATAGCCCACCATCCCATGCGGGAGTCGAACTGGCAGCCTTGTTGTTAGGAGCACGTGCTCTCACCAGCTGAACTATCCCTCCACCTGCTGGCAGCTCAGCTTGGGAGCAGCTCACTGGCCCATGTGGGAATCGAACCAGAGACCCTCTTGCTTAGAGCTCATGCTCTTAACAAACTGAGCATTCGGCTGGCCCCTAGTTGAGCAATTCTTTAAGAGAGTCTCAGAACTGGAAGGGTGGGAATGGAGTAGGTCACATGGTCCAGTCCCTCCCAGAAAAGGAATTCTCTCTCAACTATCCAGAACATTCAATCTTTGAACACCTTGATGATTGGAAGTTTACTAATGCTAATACTTGAGTGCCTACTCTGTGTTAGGCATTGTTCTAAGCACTTTCCAGGCAGCACCTTGTTTAACAGTCACAACAATCCCATGAGGTAGGCATCATTATTATCCCTTCTTGGCAGATGAGGAAGCTGAGGTTCAGAGGTTAGGTCACGTGCTCAAGGTGACAAAGCTAATGAGTAGCAGGGTTTAGACTGGACATAGTCTCCAATGCCTAAACCCTTAACCACTGTGGTCCTTGTAAAAATGCGGTTCGAATTCTGCCTGCCTATAGCTCTACCCTATTTGTCCTAGGTCTACAAGACAGCTACCACTTCTTAGTGACTAGCTATGCCAATGGCTGTGCTGAATATTTTACAGGCGTTCTTCCAGTTAATACTAACAACAGCTCTGTGAGGTCACAGTTTTTATCCTCATTTTACAGGTGAGGAAATCAAGGCAAAGAGAAGGAAAGCACTTAACTGAGGTCACCCAGTTGGCAAGCAGGAGCACAGACTTTTCAAAAAGATTTCTGAGACTCCATGTGTTTGGGAAACCTCTCAGGTGACACGCTCCTCCCCTTCCAGTTTTGATGGCAGGCCCTTGACTACTACCCTCCCTCCCTCAGCTGTTCATCTCGTGATATGGTGCCAAAGTGACATCAGCTCTTCATTCTGATCATCCCCTCTGGAGGGTCTTTTGTTTGTTGAAATCCCCAGGAGTAAACACAGAACAGTGATCCACAGGCTGGCCTTCCCTTCGCTGCCGCCTCACAAAAATCTGGTGGCCTCCACTTTCTCAGTCTCAGGGTGAATAATGCTGTTCTCTAACGTTGCCAATAGGCAGATCTGCTCAACTGGGAGGGCCGACGCTGCTGGGTTCTTTGTCCATACTCTGTGTTGTCTGAGGATTTGTCTCAAGGCACCTGGCAAGACCCAAAGGAAATGACACCTGAGATGTTTGTGGCTCAGCCCAGGGGGCCTCTGGCTCACCTGCCAGCTCCCCAAAGCGAGGCTGCTAAGACACAGGGTGTCTGCGGGATACCTCTGCACTCACTAGGAGCAGAGCTGTGAACTAGACACCCTGGGGGAAAAGTGCTAAACACGTGATCCAGCCAGGATCTCCAGGATGTAACTGGCATCAAAATTTCCTCCCAAGCCAGTGTGACTACTTTTGTCCACACTTCCTGTGTGGTCTGGCCAGGAGAGATTGGGAATCTGAGGATACAGGGATTAATCCTGGCTCCACTCAACTTCCAATAGGATCTTGATTAACTTATGAGGTTTTTTATACTTTTTTACCTGCAAAAGGCCCTAATTTATTATCTACAAGACTAAGACTGAGTGCATTGCAAAAACCAGCGAAGACCTACTCATTCCTCCCCAAACTCTGCCACCGGTCAACTGGCGACGTGGGCAGGTCCCTGAACCTCTCTGGGGCTCATGGGTTCGGGCTCAGGTTCAGAAAGTGGCCGGTAAAACAGGTTAAAAGCACTGTTTTCATTCAGTGTCGCCCAGCGCTGACCTGAAAGTCGGCCAGAATGGGCAGGGGAAGGGGAGGAAAATACGAACGGACCTCTGAAAACCTTCACATCTGTGAGGCAACGGCCGCCCCTCCAGCCCCCACCCCTTTCAGGCCAGTTCCGCGGCCAGCAGTATCCAGGTGGAAAGCGCAGGGACTGGGCGTCTCAGTTCCAGCTCGCCAGCCGCTCCCTGTGTGGTCTCGGGCGGCTGTCTACCCTTATCTGGGTCTCAGTTTTCCCATCTGTGCAGGGAAGGACTGGGCTTGTGATGGCTGGAGGCCTCGCAGTTCCGATATTCTGAAGCCTGACTCCTACATAACACCCCTTTTGGATCGGATTTTCTGGAGCGTCGCAGGAGCCAGGGGCTGGGTGGGGAGAGGTGAGAAGGGGGGGGCAATAGCTCCCGCCGCGCTCAGACCCCTAGAAGAACGACATCTGGTCAAGCAGCTGTGCAGTCCAGGCACAAGCCCGGGGCCGCGGGTCTGCGGAGGGCTGGGGCGGGGCGGCCACTTACCGGCATGACTGAGACGATGGTTGGTGGCGGTGGCGGCGGCGGCGGCGGCGGCGGCAGCGGCGGCGGAGACGCTTCTCCTGCTTCTGAGCGTTGGCGCGGCTGCGCTTCCGGGTGTGCGTGTGGGGAGGAGCATGCCCCTCCGTAGGCCATGCCCCGCCCCCTTCTGCCTGGCCAGCAGTTAGGCCCCGCCCCCAGGGGCGGAGGGCCAGAGCTGCTAGACCCGGGTTGGCCGCTCAGCTTCCTTCTGGCGGACGGGGCCCCTGGACCCCCGCCGTCTCCGAGCGAGGAGGTTCAACCTAGGCTGGGGCTAGTCTTTACCGCCTGTTGGCCGTTTTTAAGATGCCTGTTCGTGTCAGGTTCGTATTAGGGGCTGGGAATACAAGGACCTCGCAGTGAACAGGATAGACCCAGTCCCTCCCTAAAGGGACAGTCTCATGTAGTCACTGTTTATTGAGTGTCAGCCATGAGCCTGCACTGTGCGAGGCATCCAAGATGCAGTAGTGGAGACAATAGCCTAGTAGGGAGCCAAGGAGGCAGGCGATGGTATTGCAGTGTTAAAGAAAGTGCGTGATGGGAGCAGAGAAAGGATCTTTAACTCAGACTGGAGTGTGTGTGTGTGCGTGTGTGTGTGGGGGGGGGATTCTTGAAGAGAGGAGACATCCTAAGGAGGTAATATCTGAGTTAAGGGGGGAGAGCACAGGTTCATCTGATTGTGGGGGAGGAAGAAACTTTCCTCTACCTTTCAAGGTTCTTTCTCCTGGTCTAATAGTTAAATCATGAGACAGATCAAGGAGAGAAAATAGCCCAATTTAATTACATACCTATGTATGGGAAACCCACATACATGAGAGAGTCAGAAACAGGAAGGGAAAATGAGGAATACATGACATTCTGAGCTAAGGATGAGGTCATGCGCCGGGGGCTCAGAGGGAAGGAAGGTCATTTTCAGGATGATAAGAACAGTTCAGTAATTAGAAGTTTGTCCTGCCCTATATATGCATAGGTCATAGGAGATTATTTCTGGTGATAAATCTTATTATGGGCAAGGCCCCTAATTTAAATTCTTCTAGGTAGTTGGGAGGGGGTGCAGAAGTTTCTCTTGAGCCCAATGGGGCTCAGTTGCATTTAGTTCAAAATAATCCACATATCACAGAAGCTCATCTGAACTCATACATGATGAAGGAAGATGAGCAATTTGGGAAGGAGGGAGGCAGAGGGAATGGCAGATATAAAAGTTGGAAGACAGTACTGGGCATGGCTTGAGAGGCAGAGATATTCAGACTGAGAGGCAGGCACAGAGAGAGATGGAGAAGTGAAGCAACAAAGAAATTAGCCCCCCCAGCCATGGGTGAATACAGATGTTGGCAGAGATGCTCTAGGACACTCACAGAGACACAAGCATGCCAAGACTTGGAACTTCAGACACACACACACACACACACACACACACACACACACACACACACACCCCTCTACACACATACACAGCACCTGGGTGGTTCTATCCTTGGAATAGCCAAGGACCATGCCAGAGGGGCTCCGTCTAAGTTAGTTTCAAAGATCTTTAATCAGCAAAACTGGAGAGCTCATTAAAAACTCAGTTTTCTGGGCTTTGCCCTAGATACACTGCCCCAAGGCATACTTTTAGTATCCCTCCCTGCCCCCACCCCACCCCGCCCCCTCACCTTCTGGTTTGGGGAACCACTGGTTGAGGAGAACTATAGTCTTAATACATGGAACCTTTTTGAGAAAGTGTGCAAGTTTATCTCTCAGCTCCAATTCATCCTTTTTGTCTGCGTTGTGAAAATGGACCCAGACCCGTTAAATATATTTTTCCTTTGCCTGCTGGCAGGATGTGAAGCTTTCTCAGTAAAGGTTCTGTAGGGACACTGGAAGGGGAAAGGCTTTCCTTCCTGGTTCCAATGTGCTCTCTCTCACATCCCTGCAGAATGTGTGGTTGCCCCATGCCCAGCTTCTGAGGACGGCTTCCCCAGTACCAGGCTTCTGTTGTGGACAGGAACCAGCAGCACCTAGCAGCTTCCTCCAGTACCTACCCCACCCCCCGTCATGTGTTTTCATGGCAGAGTGCCTCCAGTGAGATGCCTCTTTCTGTGAATAGCTTTTTCCAGCATCCTAGAAGGTGGCTTTCCAGCCTAGAGGATGTTTCTAGCAAGTTCCACCAGCATGGCACTATAGCCACTTCTCTGCCATTCAGTAGGCCAAGCCTGGATCAAAGGCTAGGGGCAGTGGCTGGAGGTGGGGTGGGGTGGGGGGTAGAAAGATTCTTGCTTGGGCCCTCCGTCTTACTATCTTAGCCCTATGGGCTGCTCCTCATGTTTGCTATTCCTATATTCTTTAGAGTTCTCTTTGTTTCTTACCAGCCAATCCCTCATTACTACAGTCTCATTATAATTTTTAAACTCTCCTTGTTCAAATTATAGTATGGTCTCTCTCTCCTGATTTGACCCAGACTTGTTGTTGGGTAACAACAAGCTGCCTACTTTAGTTTAGGGGAAAGGACAATGAATCTACCTTTGGCCTAAGTTCAGAGAACACAAAACGGAAGGTATAAGTCTAGGCCAGGACCAGTCACCGACTCATACTGGCCCTGAAAGAGGAGGCCCACAGCATGGTGAGTACAAGGGCCATGGATGTTAGAGCCTGGCTTGGTTTTCTCTGGTTGCTATAATAAAATGTCACAGACTGGGTGGCTAGCACAACAAATTTATTTCTTTGTCACAGTTCCAGAGGCTGGGAAGTCCAAGTCAAGATGCTGGCTGATTCGGCTCCTGGTGACAGTTCTCTTCTTGGCTTGCAGACAGCCACCTTCTTGCTATGTCTTCACATGGCACAGAGAGCAGGCTGTGGTAAGGGCACCAGCCCTATTGGATTTGGGTCCCACTCTTAGGACCTCAGTTAACCTTTATCACCTCTTCACATGCCCTGTCTCCAAAATCAGTCACATTGCGGGTGGCAGCATCAACACATGCATTGCAAGGGGGGAACACATTTCAGTCCATACAAGAGCCATATAGATCAGAGTTTGAATCTTAGCCCCATCATTTGCCAGCCGTGGAACCTTGAGCAGATGACCTCTCTCAGCCTCAGTATCCTCACTTATAAAACATGGATAGTTAAAGTCACTATACAATTTTTTATCCAAACCTTTTGAGAGTGAAAGAAGAGGCCATTTATAATTATACCAAGACAGCAGGCATATACCATGACTGTTCCAGGCAAACCAGGACATATGGTTTCCTCAAAGAAACTGACTTTGTGGTTGTTGAGAGGAATAAATATGATGTATGTAAACTCCCTAGGACATTGCTTGGTTCAGGGTAGACATAAAATATATTAGAAGTCTTCTTCTAGTTACTAGGAGCTCTCCTGGCTTCTCTGGCACTGGGTCTCACCTACTGGCAAAATGGTCACCCCTTAACCCTAAATCCTCTCACCACCTGCCAGACGTTTCCTTAGGTCCAGTGAAGGCAAGGCTCAACATCTTGGTAGCACTGGGGACAAATGTGCACTGGGACTGGCGGAAGCCTGATCACTGGGAGGAGTCAAGGAAATGCAGAGGAAGAGTGAATAGCTGAGAAAACTGGGGAAAGAGGGAGGTTCATCAGAGAGAGTACAATTTACTGAGAGGCAGCATTATGGAAACTCATTAGAGGTGACAAATGAAGACCTATCAAAGAGGAGAGGAAAATGTATAGGATTATGGTTCTTCTATGTAAACATAGACATAGATTCCATTTACATAAACATAAGCATGAAATGAACTGCAGAAAACATTACAAGAAGTTATTTTGGACGGATGTAGGATGACAGGCAAAATCCCAGTGTAGATACTATTTTCAAATAGTACAAAAGGATATACAGGGACAAGAAAGTCTCCCTCATACCCTAACCCCAATTTTTTAAACAAAAGGCATCCTGTACACAGTTTTGCACCCTGCTTTTCTCAACTTCACACAAAACTCCTAGAGCTTATTCTTTACGAGTACATATCAGTCACCTTCATTTTGTTTAGTGCTGCGTAGTGTTCTACCATTCAGTTGTTCCGTAGTTTGTTTAACCAGTCCCTGTGGCAGAAACCACTGGTTGACTAATCCGACACTCATTCCCAATCTTTGTTGCTCTTGCCACGATAGAGGCTGGATCCCTAAATACTTGCTTTCCCATCCTCCCTTGCAGCCAAGTTGCCCATATGATATGGCTCCGGCCAATAAGTGTGAAGCAGAGGTCGGCTAAGAGGCTTCTGGGAAAGCTCTTCTCTCACAAAGGGAACGGATGCCACTCCTTTCCCCTTCCTGCCTAGAGTACTGATGTGATGTCTAGAGTGCAACTGTGCCATCTTGCAACCATGAGGGAAATGGCAAGAGACTCAGAGATACTGGTACTGACTGTGTGCTCACCGAACCCATGCCAGCCGCAGCTTGCCTCCAGGCTTGTTATGTGAGAAACGTAAGCCCTTCTTGATTTCAGCCTCTGGTACTCAGACTTCCTGTTACTTGCCCCTGTCAACATTCTTGATATTGTCTTCCCTGCTGGACATGTAGGTTGCTTCCAATCTTTTAGCGCTAATCATGATATCGTGGCAGCCCATGTACATACAGCTTTGCTTAAAATTTCA